TTCCTGTGACTACTTCATAATAAAACAAGTGCTTTGCCAGTTAAATGTTTTTAGTGTGAAGCCGTAGCAGTAGGATACGGTCGGTTTGCGTTAGAAGTAACTTAATACAGGATTTTTGTCGCCACCAATAGACGGTTCGTAATACTGCAAATGCGAGGGCTTTCATCAGTGGGCCATAATAATAATAATAATAATCATAATAATAATAATACTAATAAAAATAATCTTCATTTATAAAGCACTTTTAAAAAAACAAGTTACAAAGTGCTTTAACAAGCGCGAAGACAATAAAACTAAAATAAAAACTAAAATAAAGCAAGAAAACACTTAAGAAACTAAATTACACGTTAAAAGTAAAGTGTGTGTGTGTGTGGATAGATAGATAGATAGTTAGATAGATCTATATATCTATATAATCAACTAAAATAAGTTCAGGCTCTCCTATAAAAGTATGTTTTAAGAAAGGGCTTAAAAGAGTTCACTGACTCACACAGACAACAGACCTGTGCCCGGGGATCTCAAGGTACGTGCTGGTGCGTAGGTCACCAATGTGATTTGACATTTATTTATTATTATTTATTACTTTAACCTTGATTTTTCTTTGACAAGCCCTCAACATTTAAAAAAGACCATCTAATGTCGTTTCCCTTCGTGAGCAGAGTATTTAATGTCTTCACTGACAGAATGAAGGAGGCGGGGGAAGGATGGAGAGGGAGGGAGTGAGCACGTGTACGAAGGGTTCCTCGTGGGCAATGTGACAATGGATGAGGAGGAGGAGGAGGAAAATAACAGCACAAGTGGCCCTTTGAGGCTGCAATCATTAGAGGGGTGACAAACGGAGAGACGACTTTATTAGTCTTTGCTTTTCTCAGATCTCAACTTTAATCAGTCTAAAGGCTGTAAAGTTTCCACCACAGCCCCTTCATTCCCACTGTAAACATGAGGAGGCTGTCACTCTTAACACTCAGGGCTGTTTGGTTGGACGACGTTTCCACGCCATGACTTGCGTTGTGACCATGGCAACCACAGAAACCAGACAGAGCAAAATGATGTAGGAGCTAATTTTAATGGTATCAGAGTTTCCTGAAATATATATATACATCTTTTCACTGGCAGATAACAAACCGTATGCTGTTGTGGGTCAATAAACAGTGCTCATTATGTTATTGAAGCAAACCTTGCTGCATTAATCATGCGATCGAGAAAATGGTACTCTTGGTCATTGTAATTGCTGCTAAATTTTCACTGCAAATGGTCTGTGGTGGAACGGGGAGAGGGGTCGTCCGCTTACCGGATGGTCTGTGGTTTTGGTCCCCAGCTCCCCCAGTGTCTTTGCGCAAGACGCTGCACCCTGAATTGCTCCCGATGGCTGTTCCATCAGTGTGTGAATGTGTATTATTGAGTTTCTGCTTCTGGTGAGCAGTCGGCACCTTAGCCTCTGGTCGGAAAGACTAGAAAGGCACTTCACAAATACAGACCTTTAAGCTGTTTATGAATTATAACTGGATTTTTGTCCTTGTATTGCATATTACCTGGGATTGTTTTGACAATGTTTATGCTGCTCTCTTGGCCAGGTCTGAGCACACCTTCACTGTGCCAGTCTCTTGTTAAATTGAGTGAGATGCTAATGTAATATCCTGGTTTTAGCATGCCTGATCAGTTTAAACAAAATCATCATTACAGTTTTTTTTGGCTTAGAGCTCAAGGAAAGGACAAGGGCACATGTCGATGGACACATGTTCTTCGTGTATGACGACAGGAGACACTACTGTAGGCTGTCTGTAGCATTCAGTCATCATGTGCATTCAGGCGGCGTGGAATACAAAGCAGAACACATGACGGCAACAAGGCTGAGGTTGTTTGCTTCTTGCTGTGCTGGCATGTTGATGATCATCTATAATTAAATTACAGCGAGCACGCGGTGATGTCAGAGCATCTGCAGACGAGAGTTGGACCGCGAGAGCTGATGGAAGACAGACTCTGGATCTATGGATTGAAACTGACACTTTTTTTTTTTTTTTTTTTTTTACAAATATTCAGTGTGTTTAAATTTCATGTTGCATCGACTGCATCAGTGTAATGTAAGTAAACCAATAATAAAGACCCACTTATGTAATAAGTGTGACATTGGAATCCATAAAGGTTAAGAGGTTTCCGCTGACAAAGAAGTTGTTATCTTCAAGTGATGAAGGCCAAACTAATTTATCAGTCTTAGCCTGGTAAAAATGATACTGATAACATATTCACTGACCTGCATTTCATACACACCTAACTTTTTAGCCTTATTCATTCAAGCACTGATACTCTTTATACAGTACGAAGTCCCTAATTCATTATTTTCCCCCAAACTGTCATAAGATTAATGAAGGTGAAAATCCAATTAAGCTTAATTGTGAAGCTCTTTGGGAACCACACAGAACAGACAGCAAAGTTTGTACAGTAACTCAGTTGGCATAAACTGGGTCAGTAGAATCAACTCCTGATTTAATATTTAGCAAACTGTCTCCAGCTGCTTCATATTCATGTTGTTGTTCTCTCCTCTCCTCTTGCTTGAGCTCTTCCTCTGAGTCGAGGTGTTCGCTTCAAACTTCAGAAAACTTGTGAAATGCTTGTCAAGCTCTCAGCGGGAGAAGGAGAGGGAGAGATGAGTGTCAAAATATGTTATGATTCACTGATTTCATACTGTACATTATATTTGCTTACATCATAGGTGACATTTTTTTTTTTCAGGGATTCCCGCGGGATGGGAGTACATTGCACTATTCATTACAGGACTGGCACATTTTTTTGCTTCTACTATGGTTGAGTAGAAATCAAATTGTAATTGCAATATCTGGCAGAAAATTGTAAATAGATCTGTTCCCCAAATCGTTCAGCCCAAGTGTAAAGCAATACCACTATCATCAATGTCAATATGGGTCATCGGTTAAACTTCAAAACATTTTCAGACTTACTATTGAGCACTATGGTCTCTCTTGACCATAATCACTAAATGCAATGCCACTACTGAATGCTAGGATTGCAGAAGCAAATTTAGTAATGTATGTATATTGCTACTTTAATATCTTATTAAATGTAGGCCACATAATAGCAGAATAATAGCAATAACACCAATAAAGAAGTGAGGAGGAGACAAAGGATACAACTGTCTCTTTTAAAAGTGGCCAAAACTCCATCATGTTGACGTCTTTGTCCCTGACATGACACACAGCTTGTGTCTTTGCCCTCTTTCTGTATCTCTTTCACACATTAACACAGACAGCGCATCCTTTTACTTTGCTGCTGTGAAGCTGAAACAGCTGAAGTGAAATGGGAGCGTTGCAGAAACTTTCCAGTCCCTGTGTAGGTTTCAGTGGCCTGCAGCGTTTCGCACTGAGCAGTGCAGCTGATGTGTTCATGTTAGCTGACAGCACCCACAGACAGATGGGTTTCCTTCCACCTCACACACCAACATACAACACACAACTAAATAAATATAGCTCACTGACACAGAAAATTGTTTTTACTCTCTGTCATCTTTTCAGTCACTTCAACCGTCAGTTTTATTTACAGCAGACAAAAATACTGCTTTATTGCAATATTGGATGTATTGTCGGGTATTTATTTCATTGGTTGAGTAGAAAAGAAACAATCCTATCTGGGTATTTTACTCACAGCTGAAATGATTATTTGATCAATCAGTTAGATGATCGACAGAAAGGTAAACAGCAAGTATGTAAGCAAAAATGCCCCAAATGTTCTGGCTCTGGAAAATGTTAATGTATATTTTTCTCTATTTTCACACATTTTATAGACTAAATGATTAATTAATGAATCTAGAAAAAGTTTAGGTCACAGCTGCTGTGAACCAACAACACTTAAAAACGTTTCCAAGACTATAAATGTCCATTTATGCACAAGCAAACGCACATGCCTTCACATATAACAGTCTTATCTTGTGTTAATAGTTGCAGGGTGGAGCGGCTCAGCTGTATGGCTTCATACCACTCACACAAATGACGTCAGTGAACTCTGTTTAGCAACACAGAGCATTGCTGTTGGGGTTTCGCGCAGTAAAGTTTCTATGTTTTACTCCTAAAAATCTAGGTCACGTTTGGCCTGGTCCATGCATCAGTGTGTGCGTTTGTGTGTGTCATGTTTTCTGGACAATCTCAAGAACTTGTGGATTAGTTGATTTGATTGGATTAATAGATTATTGATCGACAGAAAATTGTCAAGAAGGTTTAAGTTTTCAAGCACAAATAGCAAACATTTGCTTGTTCTGTCGTCGGACAAAACAAGAAATCTGAATATGCCTGCAATGGGAATGTTGTATTTAAACTGACTAAAAGACTGAAAAGATAACAGATTTATTGATAATGTAAACGGCTCTAATTTGAAGACCTGAAATATTTTGGGGAAAATGGAAAAAATACAGAAAATCGCTTAAAAAAACAAAACTTCAAGTGATGAAGGCCATTTAGGCTTGTTCTGAACAAGAAAATTAGGACAGTGGTTAGGACAAGAAAAACTGTACAGAAAAAAGACAGGAAACAGAGAGAGAGTAGAGAGTAGTAGAGTTTGGTCTGAATATGAGAAGAGGCTTGTGGGAGCAGCTGAGGTGTGAAGATTAAGCAGGTTTCACTACTAAATGATGTTTAAGCTGAACCACTGCTTTATAGGTACCAGATGTAACATGTAGTAAGTGATTGAGTAAATCTGCCTCTCGATGACCACAATGAATAAAATCTAATGGCTGTAGATAATAAATATACTGGGGCTGTTAGGAGCCACAGACATAAAGGAGCCAATGTGTTTTGATTGTGTGAAGTTTTCTTCAGGCAGCAACAAGCACACATTTATACTGCAGAGAAACACTCGTGTCTGCCAGCACAGCTGGTCTGTGATGCGTTACATCAAAGGGATCCAGGATGATAAGATTGAATGATTAGTCAATTAATCAGTGGACGACAAATTAATCAACAACAGTTCTGATAATGGATGATCTCGCTGTCTTCCAGGCCCAGCTGGAGGCCCAGAAGGCCACCCAGGACTTCCAGAGAGCCACAGAGGTCCTCCGGGCTGCGAAGGAGACCATCTCCCTGGCTGAGCAGAGGCTCCTGGAGGAGGACAACCGGCAGTTCGACTCCGCCTGGCAGGAGATGCTGAACCACGCCACCCAGCGGGTGAGGAGGGGGGAGAGAGGAGCGCTGACAGAAGAGCATTATTTTTATTGTATATATAGTTGTATATTTTTTATTCTTATATTTACATATTTTAGTTGATGGTTGACAGAAGTAACTTTGTTTAAAATCCTGTTTAGCTGACATTGTTTGATTGAACACACGGCTGGTGTGGGATTCAAACTTGTGACCTTGCATTGACAGGAGCTGCTTGGGCTTCCTGCTTACTAATTAAAATCTTTAGCAAAATGCAATTGACGGTTGAAGGAACGCTTAAAGGGCTGAGGTTGACAAAAGATACTTAACCTCAGGGCGTGGCTGACTGTGAGTTGTGATTGGCTGTTACAGGTGATGGAGGCGGAGCACACAAAAACGAAAAGCGAACTGGTGCACAAGGAGACGGCGGCCAAATATACAGCAGCAAACAGCCGCATGAAGCAGCTGGAGAAAAAACTGAAACGCACCATCAACAAGTCCAAGTAAGAGGCTCAGCCTGCTGTCACACCGCTAAAACCACATCAAGTTGAACTGCTTGTTGTTAATGTTGTGGCAGAGAGGGATATTTTGGGGTTATAAAGTCATCGTTTAATGACACTAAAGTTGTGATTTCACCAAAAACCTTTCCACATTTCCCAAGCTGACATGCTGCTTTAAACTGCAACTTTCTATTCTCCATTCAGCTGAAAGTGGTTTCTCTCTAAAGCAGTGAAACTGGTCCCCAGTCAAAACCACATCTAACTGGTCTGGTTTATTTCCAACAGCCAGGTGTTAGAGGGGAAGTCGGACAAACCTGGTGCTGTCACGAGGCGAAATCTTATCAAAGCTTTAAGAAAATGATGTGGTTGAAACGTCAGAATAAGTTTCCAGGTGACATTTTTGAAATTAAAATATGATAAATAAAAATTCCAGGAGACAGAATTTCCCTCTGCAACGTTTTTTTTTTTGCCTTTCAGTATTTCTGTAACTATGTGCACATTTTCCAAGCAAATTTAAATTCTCTGTGGTATTTTTGCACTGTATCATCTGCCATTCATCATCATCATTTGAGTTTTTGTTGGTAGTTCTGCTTTTAGTTGTTAAGGCTATTGCCGCTTATGCTAACTGCCTTGTTCCTAATTTTATATTCCAAACAAATCTGAGATAAAACATATCAATAGCGATTTTGTGGCCAGTTGCATTGTTATGTTTTGTTAAATATGAGCCTTGAACACTTTTCTTATCTGTAAGCTGCCTGCACACAGGTGGAAGCAGTCAGAGCTCAGTGTTGGTTAATGAAGAACATGACACGCATCTCAAGCAGCCTTTCTCTTGCCTTCTTCATTAACGGGCTGTCAGGACCTTCAAAGTACATTTCCCTGTTGAGTAAGAGTATGTTTAGAGTTCTGGGGTAAGTTTGTGAATTTAACCTTCAGTAAAACTTCAGTTTAAACACTGAGATACACTGTTACATAAGACCCTCCCCAACCCCCATGTCTATACCTTATTGCTCAGAGCCCGTGGAAGGCCGTGTCAGCCTCCAACTGTTACTGTTCCAGAAGCAGAAGTGAGCAGACAATGTACAGATAACTTGTTGCCAGTGATACATGAACAGTTACTGAGAAGTCTGAAAAAGTATGTGAAAGGGAACTAAAAGTATTAGTTTCTGTGTGCTGCGTGTTCCCTCCTAGATAAATCCAGAACAGATTTAGTAAACACATTTATGTCCTTACTAAACAGAATTACATTTATTTTCCCTTAATGAATTTCCTGGTATTCTTCCAGCAATGTTCATTTATGGTTTCAGAACTTTTATTCTCTCTAAAGTCAGAAACTGGTTTTTTTTATTTTTCCCTGTAATGTTACACACATACAAACCAGAGCAAACTCCTTGTCTACTTGGCAATAAAGCTGATTCTGATATTTATGACTAAATAAGCAGCAATCAAAGTTAAAAAACATATTTTTAAGGGAGTTGGACTTTCAAAAAAATTCCTAATCTGCTTAATCAGGACTGTGGGTGTTTAATCAAATTTGACTGACAGTGAAGCCGATTCAGATGTTGCTAAATCCTGATTGGTGCACTGTCACCTGTTCCCAGCTGAGCCGCGCCACTTCCAATGACAAATTTGTCATATAAAACAACCAAATGTAACTTTTAAAATAGTGTTTTTATGTCGGAAGTATCACAGTAATCAGATTGAGAACTTAAGTTCTTATTTCAAGTTTGGCTTTCTGAAACCTGATACAGCACACCTGCATTGGAGCACATGCACAATAACAGTGCAAGATGTCAAATATGGAGAAGGAAGGAAAAAAAAAAAAAAAAGTGTTACGCACATACATGTATCTAAAGATATTTGCACAAAAGTGAGCAGATAAGAAGCTGAACAGTCTTTGAGAATGTGTATGGAACCCTTAAACCGTGATGGTGACATGTTCACTCAGTTGCTTAAGTCCAAACATTAAATTAAAATGGTAAAATTTGTTGGAAAATAAATCATTAAGTTATTTGAAAAAAAAAATAATGCGATTTGATGCAGCACAGTTTGAGAAGTGACAAAGACTTTGTCACTAAGGTAACCAAACAACTCAAACTTTATCACTGCCTGACATTTAATCATGACAGTCTGACAGTCTCTACTGTAAGAAACTGGGTGAAAGGTCAAAATGAAACACTCACTGCAACTTACAGAGAGGAAGTAAATGCGCTTACTAGAGGACATTCAGGAAATACATTTACTTAAGTACAATTTTCAGATACTATTACTATTTTATGGTGTAATATGTCTACTCGCCTACATTTAAGATGTCCGGGACTTGTACATGTAAATGAACATCCTTTACATTAACGCCTTTGCCAAACGTGTTCACACAATGCTGATTAAGCCGATCACCACCAGTGTTCACAGTATACCGGAGTTGTTAAATCTGGTGTATGTGGTGACGTTACCGCGACCCAACCATTGTGACAGCAGCAACTCTGTATGGCAGAGCCTGCATGTCATAAGCACTTGTCGACAAGAGACCCTAGTTCCACACCGCACTGGTTTAAGCAAAATTTTGACTCGTGATTAATTAGAATGCATGTTTAAAACTAAAACTAAAACTGTATTTGTTATATTGTCGATTCTCTACATGTTACTTAATTTGGGGTTCTGGATAGGTTTGGGTCCAGCTCTTGTAATTAGCAGCGGTTGGTTCTGCATTTGTTTTGTTTTTTCTGGATTCTGTCTCGCTGAATTATCATCTGCCGCCTTGCTGTGCGTCTCCTCAGCAGGGTGTTAATCCGTTCTGCATCGTGCGCTCATCCGACATCACAACCCCTTTACCTCCCTCTCCTTCTCCAGGTTGCCATGGTGATGATGATGTGGATACTGCTCCTTTCTGGGTTACTCTGTAGTTTTCCCTCTGATCTAATCTTTTCCTCTCCTCCTCCTCCTCTGCAGGCCCTACTTTGAGATGAAGGCGAAGTACTATCTGCAGCTGGAGGTACGTGACGGCTGCTCGGGCTGTAATTTACTTCCCTCTCGACCCCACTGATCAAGTATTAAATACCTTAACCACAAACTCCAAGCACTCAGGATCTGTTGACTCACCACGTCAGGCTGCAGTGTTGTATGTTCCCTTTGTGTGTGTGTACATGCTGTAGGTTAGTTTGTGTGCTTCAGGCTGTAATCTGATTTGAGTTGTTTTTCTTTTCTGTGATTCGAGCACAAATTGCGGCTGTTAGCAGTGTTAGGAATAAAGAACATCTGGTTAACATCAGTCTGGAGGCTGTGCAACACAAAGTCTTATGATAACGACCCATTTTCATATCAACTTGAAGGAAACTCCTCCAGAAAACAAACACTCAAAAGGTGACTGAAAAGTTTGTCTTTGTCAGAGGATGGCACCTGTAGTCACACTGGATTTGCAACAACCAGTGTCAAAACAGATCAAAATGCACCATAATCCATTGATCCACATGTTAAATATGTTCCAAAAATTTCGTCACAAAAGATTTTGCTCCCACAAATTAGCATTTTTAGTAGGATCGCCCTCTAATGATTAGTGATTTGAATCATTGGTTCACGTTTTCAATCAATTACCTGACTTCTTTTCACTGCGTCATTCCAAGGAAGACACCATGGCAGGCTGCAAAACTTTAGGAAGCATGACCTTTTTCCATCACGGCTAAACGATCAGTGGTTTTTCTACGGCTGTTGCTGTTTAGTGTCCGTCCCACTAATTCATCGCATGTATCTGTGAACCATCATTGCAGTGACCTCTTGATCATCACTAATAAATGTCAGAAAAGTGATTAATTATTGTATTGAAGAACGACAAAATTAATAATTAATCTTAATTTAAAATGATTTAAGTTTATAAATTCGCCTTTGACATTTTGACTGTGTCGCCTGGAAAAACATCAGGGAAAAAAAAACCTAAAATGTTTCACTCTAAGGTTACATTGCTTATGCTTCATGTCCACCTCATCAAATCACTCACAGCTATCTCCAGAAAACTGTGTGAGGTGTTCATGTTCTCACTTCACATTCTTCTTCTACTATACCAGTTTTTGTGGCAAATGGCATGTAAATGGTTTTTATGAGTTAGATCTTTGTATCTAATTAACCGAACCACCGTCATCAAAACCCCAAATGAGGGAAAACCTTTTGGAAGAATGAGGTTTCATCTCTCCACTAAAGTTCAATGAGAATCTATAAAAAGGAGATTTGAAGCAGTTGGCTTTATTTAAAAGGTTTCACTCATCGGTATCTAAGAAAGTCTAATCATACTCACTACATGTTGAAGCCAGATCACAGAATGAGAATCTGTGCAGTCTGGTAGCATTATTCTCTATCTGTTGTCATGACCTTCATCATCACCCTCCTCTCCCCTCCAGAACCTGAAGAAAATCGTGGACGAGCGGCAGGCCAAGCTGTCTCAAGCCAAAGGGGATTATAAGACGGCCCTTAGGAACCTGGAGATGATTTCAGACGAGATCCATGAGCGCAGACGGAGCTCTGCCATGGGCCCCCGGGGGCGCGGCGTGGGCGCAGAGGGTGATAGTGTTTCTGGGGACGACATCTCCAGCTTTAAGTTGGAGTCGGACGAAATATCCAGTGAGTACAGTACAACATGTCTGGAAGCGAACCAGTTCTTCTTCTTCCTTCTTTTTTGTCTCTCACTTTACTGCATCAGTCTGAGGAAAAGGTTTGTTACATAAACTTAATTCATGGCAAACGGTCAAGTTTATTTATAGTGCACATTTATCATACTCCTGTACCTTCAGCACGACTCAGACGATTGTCCTGATGAGATAAAAGGCCGATTAGTAAATGTTATGCTGCTCAGCTGTGGACCTGCTGCCTCTGTAAATGTCAGGGTTAACTGGGATGAGATTTGGTCGGTTCTGTTGTCATTTACCCTCCTTCAGTGTTAAATGGGGCCAGTAGAGTAACTTTTAGAATAGCACAAACACAGTGTGTTAAGAGTGAGAGGAAAAACTGATTGGGCAAACTAATTCTTGAAGTAGAAATAGATTTTTGAAAGGGTTTCTTGTATAGCTGCTAATCCAACTATAGACTCTTAAGGAGTGAATCCTACGTCAGTTTATGTAGATGCGAAAACACAGACAGTGAGCTCTTGTCTGTTTCACTGAATTCCTGGTTTGTGATTCTTGGAAAGTCCGATAAGATCCAATTTGTTCATGTTCGACTTCAGAGAAAACAAAAAAAACTGCAGGACGGCCGACAGATTAAAAACAGAATTGAGTTTAAATTTGATTTACTTCAGACATGCAGAGGGGCGAGACTGTCTGACGGACTTTCACTCAAACACATGCCCTACCCAGCCCTCACTCTAAACTTAAGCTAAACCTCTACCAACATAAGTCTTAAACCTTAAACAGCCCTCTAATGTCAAAAGCAGAAAAAGTGTCCTCTTTTTTTGCTGCCTAATATACGGTGGGTGAGAGATCGACACACTACAACTGCAGAAAGAAAGAAACTGTTGAAATGTGTCCTCTGCATCACGTTGGCCTCGACTCCAAAATAGACCTGCCGTTACTGTGGTAACCACAGAGCAGTGGAGGCATCGCAAAGCAGACACTGTGATAACAAGTTAACCTCTGTAAAGGAATAAAGTGTTGCTATGGCTGAATATAACCACAGACACTGATGAAGCGTTTGGGTATTTTGATTTGTGTCGGGGGAAATGAAACGCCGCCGCTGGGAGTGATGTGACGGTTTAAAGTCCTCAGATCTATTTATATCTCCGTTTGCACATACTCACATTTTTTTTCTTCTCCACATCTTTCCCTCCTTTTTCGATTCTGTATCCTCACCTTCACCATCTTCCTTTCACTCTCATCCTTCCTTTCTCATCACTCTTTGGTCTTTCACATTTTGCCCTCCTCTCCCCTTGTTTTCTTTCTTGCTCTTTCTTCTCTTTCTCTCTTTCTGTCTTTTTCCATCCTTCCTTCCTCTTCCTGCAGTGGCGTCCGTGTGTTTCGACGACGAGCCTTGTGGCGGCGGCAGCAGCGTCATGTCAGAGGAAGACTCAGAGACTCACTCCACCTGCAGCCTTGGTTCGTCTCCCAGCAGCCCTCAGGAGCTCCTGTCGCCTTGCCCCTTCACCAGCTCCTCCTCCTCCTCCTGCACGTCCTCCTCTGCCTCTCCGTCACCGACTCCCTCCTCCTCCTCCTCCCCGGCTCCTCTGTCCAGGCCCAGCAGTCTGGACCTTCCCAGCACCGTGTCGCTGTCAGACTTCGGCCTCATCTCGCCGGTGCTCGGGCCTCGCAGCGAATGCAGCGGAGCTTCCTCACCAGAGTGCGACCTGGAGAGAGGTGTGTGATGGTGATTCTGTTTCTGTTCTGTTTGTTTTGGTGTTATAAATCTTGATTTAGGAAATAAGTTTAAATGCAGCAGGACTACAGTGAATTTTCCCCGGCCTAAAAAGTTTAAAATATTAAAATTGATCTTACAGTGTTGCAGATACGGTTGGATGAAAACAAACCTTTTCTTCTGTTTACATAAATATAAATAACCGCATCAAAGTGAAATAGTGTTCTCGTATTTTAGAACAGATTGCTACAGGTTTAACTGTTTGAAACTAGATAAACATCACTAAAAAGGGATAAAATACTGTACAAAATCATTCATAAGTACGTTACACTGAAGGTCAAAACATTTCCGTACAACATATGCTCTCAGTTACCAGTTTATTAGGTAAACCTAGTGAAAACTGATGGCACATAATTCCTGCTGATGGTCTGTTTCTACATATACTTGGACTGTCGGTCCAACAAAACACATTTTAAGACATCACTTTGGGCTTTGCAAAATTATAAAGGATCTATTTCACTATTTGATTAAATATTTTATAGATTAAACGATTCATTGATTGAGATTGAGAAAATAATCTGCTCAACAATTTAAATAATTGCCCTAATGTATTGTACATGCAGAAAAATATATGTAGAAAAAGGAAAGAGATGGTGGGGTGTTGAGTGCATGTGAGAGCTTCTCACCATCAGGTCCATTTGTGTGCAGCACGTGCTGTTACACAGGAGAGAGAGACAAACAAAAGAAAGACATGGGGAAGTGAGATGGATGATGTTTGAGAATCTATTCTGGGTAAGACGTACGATCTCCTGCTTACCTGCTCGACTCACACCTGCTCCGCCACAGGAGCCTATTAGTCAAAGTGACAGCGAGCCGGGTGCCTCACCTGCAGAGACGAAACACAGTTCCCCACACTTCAGTGGGCACTGATCGGTGATCTGTTGGTTTAAAAAAAAAACACATCTACATTCAAACTGGAACCAAAGAGCTAACAGGCATTTTGAGGCTGTTACGGACGTTGGTCTTCGAAGGTTTAAAATCAAGTCTATATATATATACTTTATAAAATAAACGTGTAATACATTTTCTTGATAACCATCCTTTTAATTTGACTTGTGACCAAGATTTATACTCACTGGGACATTTTACAGTTGACAAGATGTTTTTTTCAACAAAATGTATTGCTACTGACTCAATTTCAATGTGAAGAAGGTTTAAAATATAGTCACATTATGTAAATGCTGTTGAAACAATGGTTATGTACCAGAGATATCTAAAAAAGCAGCATTTAGCCCAGTTATTTTGTTTATGTCCTACCATCAAAGTTTTGAAAGACGTAGTTTGAGGCATTTCTGACTTCTCTAAAACAAAGGAATATTTGTATGTATCTGAGCCCATTAAAGCTTAAAAACTATGTCTTGAATAATTAATGCCAATCATGCTCATGAAAAAAAAAACACATTAACCATTCACTGACCTTCTCCTGGGCTGCAGGTGACCGTGCAGAAGGTGCAGAGGGGGATCTTGACAACGCTCCAGCCGCCACCAACACCACCACCACGACCACCACCAACAACAACAGCAGCTCCACTTCCAGCACCAAGAAGAGCTTCAGCCTGGAAGCACGCTTCAGCTTTCTGAACCTGCGCCGCCCGCGTCCTGAAACCGCCAAAAACACAGGCTGCTCCCAGAAGGCGGAGGCCGGGCAGACTGTGGTCTTGGTCAAAGGAGTTTGAGGACCAAAAAGAGAATTTGTTGGAGAGACTTTGGCTCTGCCTTGACCCATCCTCACCCAGCCTCTCTGATACTGCAGTTACCTGCCACAACTGCACTCATTTCCAAACTGTGGTCAAAGAGAGACTTTGAATGTCATAGTTGGTGTATACAAAGTGTGGTTACTCCATTTCCTTTATGAAGGACATTGCACCTTTTGGACTCATGCCTGAGATATAGAGAGCACTGCTATGTGTTGGTGTAGGGTGATAAAAGGAAGGTTGAAATGTGTCGTTTTCCACTAAAAGCTGAAAATGCTTCTGTCACAAAAGCAGAAGAACGCCAGCTGCCTGCATTCAACCTTTGACTTGGGGATCATCTTAAAATGACTTGGGGATCATTTTATCTATTTAATACTTGTTCATCAAAATAACATTTATTATGCTGTAAACCATGCACAGGTGATGTTCTGCTTACTTCAACAGTTAAGGAAATTAAAGTCACGTGTGGAGATGTACTAAATAACTAGTCTCTTTACCTTCTGACATACGCTCCTGTATTCGATAAATGACTGTTGTATTTTCTGTAAGTTCGGTGAGTAAAGAGTTTAGGTTTAGGCACATGGACGTTCCAAATGTTGAAAATCCATTTATATTCCACAGAAGTTAATTAAACTAAGCTTGAACTCTTTTAGCATAGTTTTTGCAACCGAGATGATTGTTTTAAATTAACATCTTTCTGGTGCACATCCAGCAAAGTTACTGATATTTAAAGACAAAAAGTGTCCTTTCAATGCTATAGCCATCGCATTGCAGATAAAAGTATACATAGCTGCGTGTGATAACTTCATACTAAGCTCAAGTGTTTCACTGCCCTCTGTGGTTTAAAGCGAGACAATGTAACGTTAGAAAGAAGACATTAACGTCTCTCTTAAAATAAAAAGTGAAATTCTTAATAAAACACTGGTTGAATTCAATACAGATATTTTGCTGCTACAGCTGTACTTTGTCTGTTATGACGAGTTGCTTAAGGTGGCGTTCACTGACTTTCCAGTTATGTTTTATTCTGTCACAAATACACATTTCAGTGGAGTAAACGCACCAGGGAATTGAATGTGATGACATCATGGCCGCTGTTCAGCAAAGGCTACATTGGCTCGTTTTACAGCCTCGAGTTTGTTGCACCTGCAACCACACCCAGCAGTGATGTCATAGTGTACTGACATACCCTACAGTACACGTCTACATCACCGCGAGGTCAGCAAAACCAGGGTATCCAGCTGCAGATAAGTTGTTCTTTGGGTCGTAAAGGTGCATTTTTAGCAAAAACAAAGACAAGCTGGTTGCTTCAGTTTAAAAATGTTATTTATGTTTCTCACATTGGAATAAATTCTAATTATTTTTTTCATGGTTGTAAACTGTAAATTTAATTCTCATGTACTGGTGATTGTATTATTAATGTAACAGCAAAATTCTTTCTTTCCCCAACGGACTGCTGTTACACTCTTTACCATTACAATTATACAATATAAAACTGCTGAAATAGCATTTAATGTTTAAAGCGTATTTGCCAAGCTGTATAATTAACTGGTGACAATTTAAAACAATCTTTTTGGCAAAAACATGGCCAAGGGTGAAAATTGTAGCTCCATTGTAAGCCCAGGCACAATCTCCATCTAACTGAACAACCTTAGAACTGAAGTGTAAAACTGGATGACCGTTACAGATCAAAGAAATGTCTTCGGACACTGAGACCGTATGTTCAACCACTCCTCCTCATGGTGCGTCCCCCGGGGCTCCTACATTTTCCTACAAAGTCCTTGCACCTAAAAGCAATTGGCAATCTTGAAAGACAAAGCAATACGGAAACTCAAAGCTGATGATACCCAGAGCAACTTTTAGAGCAATGGTGCTGGGCAATGTTGGCGTCAATGGTAATGAGCAAAAATTACTACCGCAATAACATGTTAAACCTGTTAATCTGTTCAAAACATAGTAAGACTTGCCACTAGCAAGATTGCTCAAAAAGTTGCCCCATGTTTCATCAGCTCAGCTCTCGGACTTTACGCTACATCCTGTGATGGTAACAAAGTAAATCCAGGAGTTTTTGGACATGAAATAACAAAGAATGCAGTTTTCTGAATGTGAATAGAAAATCAGATGGTCGTTGAAGATTTTTACATGCCACATTATGAGAGAAGTTGCTGGTTGCTTCAGACTTTTAGTATTACTCGGTGAAACCCTTAAACAACTGGCTAGGAGGTATTTAATTTGTTTAAGTGATAAATAATCTTAGGTTTCTTTAAGGAGCAAAAGGAATAAAGCGGGACATATTAGGATGTTCCCTTATATTTGTAAATTATGCGCTTAAATTAGAAAAAATTCCCTCAAAGTGCCCCAAAAAAAAATAAAAAATATATATATACACACACACACACACACACACACACACACACACACACACACACACACACACACACACTACTTTTATGTCAATAAATACCATCAAAAGGCCCAAACCAAACCAACATGTGTTAGTCTGTCTCTCTTGCTGACTTCCTGACCGGGGCTCTCCGCTCTAAGCCTGTTGGTTCCTACGGAATATGTAAATCTTTTAAAACAGGTAACAAATATATAGTTTCATCAAAAAGAAAATAAAAACTTGGCTACTCACTGTTTTTACCAAATGTTACTCAAACAGAAGGAGTTATCCTCATTCATTCAATTTGTTCTTTTTCTTTTGACAATTGCTAAAGACTTCTTGGTTTTGGCTGCTACTGTAAACACAATGTTGTGTTAAAACTCAGCTGCAAGGTTCTGGATTGGTGACAAAGTTTTGCTGCTGTCTAGAAGAGAGCAGGGAAGGGCCAAATGAAGTCATTTGAGAGCACAATTTTTTACAAATTATTCATTTAAAAGGGATATGTGTAATTGAATCCATTCATTAAGCTATAAGGTGCAGAAGTTGTTGACTGGGAAAAAATGGAAGAAGATTTTACATCTCAGAGCATTCTAGTAACATTTTTTAGGAAAGAAAGGTGGTAAACAAACGGCAGCCTTTTGCTTCCTGCTTTCTTTCTTAAGTCTATGTACTATGTGAACAAAATGTAATATCTGTGTATTTCAGTATATTTGTGTCACTTTGTGATGTGGAATTTAGGATATAAACCGCTGACCAGCTTCCCTCTCATAGCTGTGTGCGCACAGTGGGTGTTCAATCCTCTGCATCATCTCTCAGCAGCTAATGTGCCGGTTTTTCAGATTAAGAGTAAAATAAACTGATGTTCACTTCATTGTCGTCCAAGTTCATTTGAAGTTTACTAGTTTGGTTTCAACAGAAAGATGTGGCACATACTCTTAAATAGCTTTATCTTCAGAGACTGAGGTCATAATTTTAATTTCAGTGTGACACAAGAGTACCTCACTCTAAGAAACACTGTTCTTTGAAAATACGCCTGGTGTTTTGCTCAGTGATTCAGACCTTTAAAAGGCAATCTGATTTTGGAATTGAATTAATATCAACTAGTATCTGGCACATCTTTAGAGAAGCTTTAAACAGTCCAAATGGTCATCACATTTTACCAATAAAGAAGAGAGCACCAACACAAAGAGACCTTCTTGGAAATACGACACAAACACATCTTGAAGAGCTAACATAACAGTGAGCCTTTAACTGCTGGTGCACTGAAGCTGAAGCTGAATCTATCTGATAAACTTTGAAGCAGGAATGCCCTAAAGGCTGTTTATATTCTATATTATTCTTATTATATGATCAATAAATCTCATTAAAAAGGAATGCATCAATTTGCTCCAGTTTGAGTAACATTTGCTAAAAACTACAGTGCTATTGAAGAGGGGTAACGCTCTGTGAGCGAGCGAGCTTGACGTGTCTCAATAAGTTAGCTCACTCGCTAACAGGACAGTAAGGTGTAATCTGTTATTTCAGAAGACTCACTGATATGATACTTCCAGAACAAAGGTCACAGATTATTTAAAAGAAATATTTTTCCTATTGACTGTCTCATAACAGTTGCAAATCATCTTTTGTGGAGCACTTTATACAAGACATTAAAGTTCATAAAAGCTATGATAGCTTCCTTCATTTTGTACTCTCTGGCTCTCCGTCCCCTCACAGGAACTGGACTTTAGTGCATTGTTGGCTTTAGTCTTAACAGGGGATTAATAAAAAAAATATTGCATGTCAGCCTTATCCTTTAAAGGTAACGCTACATTTGTTTTTATGAAAGGTGAACCTCCTGTTGCAACGATGAAGCTCAGTGGGTTTTACAAAGACGATCAGAGCCAGGCCAGTTATTGTTACCTCTTTTGTCTAAAGATCATAGACCAGAGGTCACTAATTGGTGGGCCGCGGTCCAGACCTGGACCCAGCCACCGTCCTCTCCAGACCCGGAGTTACAGCCGATTAATTATTGAGAATTATTATCTCATGACGGAGCGTTTCCATTTTAACCCGTGCAGCTTTTTTAGCATTTACCGTACTGGTTTAGATGACCAGGAAACTCACAGACCAACTGCATGTGTTCCAATCGTCTCCTGTGATTCTGCTCAGCCAATCAAATCTCTGCATTCCGATAAGCATTGCGAGTCGAGTCCACGAGTGAGAGGAGACAAAAGACTTCACATGGCTTTTAACCAAGAATGTACAGATTCTTACATGTAAATTCTTCCCACGGGCAGAATATCTCATATCTCTCTAATCCTAGGGAAGCGGTACCTATAATAAGGGAATGAAAGAGAATAGAAGGTATTAAAGCTGTTTATTTGTTAAGGTGTTTTGAGTGTTTATTATAATATTGGTTGAGACAACATTTCAATCACTTCAAGTTACACTTTTTATTTTATTTTGTCTGAAATTAAGCACTTAAGAAAGTAGCACATTTAACAAACTTTTTTTTAAATTTTTTTTTTAAATGTGCCTTTAGTTTACTTACATTTAGAATGTATTAATAGAGTAGTAATTATTTATTATCCCTCCAGTTTGTGGTGAAAACTGACAGTAATTATTATTGAAATATTTGATTTTACAGTCAGTTGTTGACTCAAAACACATACTGATACAACTATACGTTATGGCACTGAATGATAACGCAAGTTATCCGGACCTTTGCTTCAGAAAAGTTTCTCTAACTAGACTTCTCTGAGTTTTAATTGAATACCTTTGTCATAGACCTTTTCTAATGTATCTCTGATTAGATTAGATGTAGCTGTCTCTGCTGTTACTGACCTACATTATGGATTATTTAGAAAAGCCTCTTTATATTTACCAATTTATAGGCATGTAAACCCCTACAGTGAGCTTTAATACAAATTAGTTGAAGATTGAAGAAGTCATGGCGTTAATCACTGAAAAAAACGTTATGTATTAATATATGCTCAGTGCCAAGGAGTCAGACATTAAGAACAGTTCAGTTCTCAGCTATAATGAGCAAATTATTATTAATTTAAAGGACCGCAGTTGTGCTGCAGTCACAACGAACATCAAAGTTTCTCCACATTCTTTCAAATTTAAGTTAATTTGTTATTTACTTCTTAAGAAAAGTATGAAATTTGTACAATTTATTACGTTAGCAAAATCATTAAGTTTCCAGACTTATTAAAGGACTATTTCTGCTTCACAGATGTGAAGATGTGCTTGAGGTTTCTGCCTGTTAAAAGGGAGTTTGTCGTTGTTGCTGTCGCCACGTGGTAGGAAATGCTGGGTCTAATAAATAATATTATATCTGAACCTGCTCTATAGGACAAGTACCCCAAGATAACTGCTGTTATGATTTGGCACTATAAAAATGAAACTAAATTGAATTTCCCAAGTCGTCATTTTGGCCACATGTGCCTTGTGACAGCAGATTAGCGGTGGCTGCATGTTTTTTCTAAGACACATGCTTCTAACAGCCCACTCAGCTCTTTTTTTTTATCTTGACAGTGTTGACAGAGAGGAATATAAGCCTGTGTCAAGCAGACAACCAATGATCTTTTTAGCCTGTTTGAACAACATTCTGCAAATGATATGAATTATTTGAGCCTTAACAGCTCATGACAACTTTAGGAGGTGTGTTTTGGTGTTAGTAGCCACTGCGACTGGAGCAGATGTTTCTCTCCTGGCATGGGTTTAGTGTGTAAATAAGGAAATACTTTTGCTGCTATGAATTATGGGGTTACATGTGTAATATGGGAGCCAGAAGTTGCTGTGCAAATTCCTACGTGTGTCTGTGTTTAGTTTATTACTGTACTGTACATGTACTTTATTAAAAAAAACTAATAGCTTCATGCTTGTGGTTTGAACTTGGTTGTGAAATAAACATTATGAGAGCTGTCAACCACGTTACCTTTCTTTTTCTTTTCTCACAGATGTCGACGCCAGTCACAATCTTGTGTGACATCTAAAAAGGATTCCTATACTATGTAGTGAATATACATACAGAATAGAACAAAACGGGTGAATGCCACAAAGATCTGCAGCTTACCACACTGAGTTTTCAGGCTGAGATGCTGAAGAAAGCATGGCAGGCTGTCTTTGCTGCATCAGATCTCTTCACACCTCCTTCTGTTTTGAGCATTTAATAAAATGAAAAAAGGGATGTTATTAAGATTTTACTGTCCAGCATTTCAGAGAAACCATCATCAAAGGGACTTAACGTGGAATTTAATATTTATATCAGGGACGGGCCAGAATTACTTTCTCACAAACATAGTATACAAACTTCTACTTCGCTTTAGCACAATGGATATTTGTTGTCACTGTGGCCAGAAATGTAAAGAAGGTAAGTTTCTGTGTTCACTTATAGTGTTTTAATGTACAATAATCTATCATACTATACAGGCGATGTTACCAGTCTTGCTATGCAGCAATCCCAGAAATTAATATTAGCCATTGTTGACTTCAGAAGCTCGATGTACAAAATCTGATGAATGTTGCTAGCTCTATCAAAACAAAAGCCCCCTTCTGCTTCCCAATAAAGAAAAGCGCAAAGACCAAATCAGATATCATGTTCTGTATTCAAATGTTGAACACATCAGTCTACCCAACATTTAGTGCAAGTTCTGAAAACATTACATCATCATTCATACAACAGGCTGATGCAAGATTGTCCTGCTGCATATTTAAATTAGTCCTTAATTGAAAAAGACAACTGAATATGGTAACAGAGAGATATGGCATCCATAATGCAAATGATCTATGATTAATCAATAAGTAATGGATATTTAAAGCTATATCCCACTACTCTGAATGAAACACCAGCATTATTAGTTCAGTCAGCACAGGCTTTAGTATTAATTATTGTTAAGAGGAATTGTGGGAGTTGTCACCATGATCCCCAGCAGCTTTACTATAAAGCAGGTCAAGTTAATCACGGTTCCAGCTGCATTACAGAATTTTCAGAGGGAATAATGGTAACTGAGGGCAGTTTGTCATGTTCTCTTTGCACTGTGCTGATTCACTGTGTGAGTTGTGAATTTTAAAATGTGGAAAACAAATGAAATGATTGTATAAAAAAGCTGAGGTGTGTGGTTTAACTTAATGAAACCATATTAAGTTGTGTGTGCTACATTGTGAAAATGTTTTTGTTACATCGTCCACATTCAGTGCACAGTGCCCTGTTGCAGTCTGCACACGACAACACTGGCTGCATATTGATAATCAGTTAATTGTTAGTCATTTATCAAGCAAAACGACAAATCAAATCAAAAATCTCTCTGGTTCCAGCTTCAGATGTGATAATATGCTGCATTTCTGTTTTAAATCACTGGAAATTGAATAATATTTGGTTTTGTACAATTGGTTGGACAAAACAAGCAATGTGAAGATGTAAACTTAGGCCCTGTGATCTTGTGGGGGACATTTTGCCTATTTTATAGGCTAAACAATCTATTAAGTGAAAAAAAAATAATGAAATGAAATTAATTACTGGCTGCAGACTGTGTTTTATGGCAACACAGCGCTGTGCACAGGGGCTTTACATTTACTACAGCAGCTTACAGTTAACAAAGAATGACATTGTGTGATGACATGCACAGTAGCCTCAACACTGATATAACCCTGTGTAATCCACTGCAGTCAGATTCACTTTCTAATTAAACCTTCATGTAAACATTTGCAATTAAAGGACATTGCAAACAAGTCAGCTGTCTGTCACTGACTTTTCTTCAGAGTTTTTACACTTACTAACACGTCATGGTCTTCATCTGGGAGTTTGCTCAGTTATTGGGAAGATGACTGAAACAATTCCATGACCAAGCTGTATTTGCTCATTTAGACCATGAGGTGCAGTTGAAAATGCTGACGTCACTCAAAAAACCCCAAAAAAAACAAGTTGACTTCAGATGAGCTGCTTTTCTGAAAACTGTTACATATTCATTTCCATATATTATTTGATAATGAAACATTTTTTAAAAGTGCAGTATATCAACAAAAAGGTAAACAGATGTGTACTTGGCAATACATTTACATTTCCACCTGCAGAAGGTTGATAGTGACAATCAAACAAACACACACACACACACACACACACAGTGTGTGATGCCTGTCTCAAGCAGTGCTGAGTGCTGACGCGACGTCTGTCAGCGAAATCAGGCTGATACAGACAACATGAAGAGACATCATTCAAATGCTGCCATACTGGGTTCCCTGTGGTGGTGCTGCTCTGCCGCACTGCTCCTGAGAATAACAAAACCTTCACTGTCATTTAAGGAAACTAACAGCTGCTTCCACTTGACAGACTTTTTAAACTCTTGTCACCAAGTCTGATAAAAAGTCTGGTTCGGTAAAGCAATAATCAAAGAAAGGGTTAACCGAGGACTTCGTTTGTGCAAAATGTTCATGTATCAATGTATCATGGCTGCCAGTATGAAACAACTTCTTCTTATCAGAGTTGTTTTGCAGTAGTGAGCTTCTTAAGCATGTGTTGTCTTTATATTTCCCATCCTGTTACACACCATTGAGCCTGGACGTAAAACTTTGTGACTTTTTCATGGCTTTCCATAACTAATTAATTAATATAAACAATAGAGTAAATAACGATAAATAAAGAGTTACTGTGACCCTACATATTATTACTATCTGGTTTCTAGTTTATCATCCTATTCCATTGTATTTAAAGCTCAGAACAGCTACAACAGTTCAGTTATTTTTGCTTTCTGTGGAGAAGCGGCAATGTGACACAGTTGAAGAAAGCAGTTCCACCATTTCTGCTGGGCAGGTTCATGTATGAAATTACTAGAGACAGCTGTCATTTCACATTGGCTCTACACTAAATGATTGATAAGTCTCCCTTTTAGTGAGAGATCATGAACATTTCCTGTACCTGCCTGGATGGCTGTATACTTGCTCAGCTGTCATCAACATGATTTTCTATCAGGAAAACAAGGCAGCTGTTTCAGAAACATTGTCAAAAATGTCATCCAAAGTCTCAACTATAATCCCCACCTTGGCCAAATGTATGTGGACATCTTGACACTCCACCAATATGTGAAAGCTTAACATGTTTCAGTCTTTCACCAGATGTTGAAGCTGCTGCAGGGATTTGCTACTCATCAGCCACAAAAGCATCAGTGAGGTCCAACACTGATGCTGGTGAGCAGGCCTGGCTCTAGTTTAGTGCTCCGCAAAGGTGCTGGATGGGGCTCACGTTGAAACAGGAAAGGGACAAACACTGTTGGAAGAACACTGTTGTCTAAGATATTATTGTATGCTGTAGAATTAAGGGGCCCAAACAATGAAAGAAGTCTCAGACCACAAGTGTAAAAGGAAGTTGATTTCTATGAGCAAAAAACAAATCTCAAAACATTTGACTGGACTGTTGAGATGCTCATCACAACAAAACACAACCTGAAAAGAATTGCTGCTTTCGGGTACCTTGATGGCCATGTTGCAGCTCTTGGCTGGTGACTGGTGTGCATTTTAACCCTGTTTCTTCTCCACATCCTGTTGAGTGATGATTATCATTATCCTATGACATACATCAGATTTAACTGCCTGATCAGAACAATGATGTTGATGGAAATTATTTCATCTGGTGGTTGTAAGCTCAGCTCCATTGATGCTGTATCTATCTTATTATGGCAAAAAGAGGTACATCAGCTCTCTGACACTGCTCTCATTGTCTCTACTTTGTCATTTTTGGTGAAAGTGAATTTTATTCTGTACCAAAATGCCTTGACTGTTGTTGGGTTAAATTTCATACTGAAGTTCCTCTTGATGATTCCTTATTAACAATTAACTTATTCTCCATAACTGTGGTGGTATCATCAAGTCAATGTTGAAGTTCAAGCCCTCAAGTCTTTCCATTTACTGTACCTCCACAAAGGTTTCAGCGAGAGTTATCAAGGCTGCCAGTCACGCCCCAGGCCCTTTGAGTTTTATTGAGGCCTTGATGACATCTCCAAAGTATAGTTTCAGAGACATCCCATGTCACTCTTGCATGAACCTCACTCCCAACCTCTGCCCCTCCTCTCTCCAGCTCCATCTTTACTGGAGATGGGAGACCTTGAGGGGTATGGTGCTGGAAAAGTCCAAGAAGAAAGGTCCTTCCTGTTTGGGCAAGAAGGTGGTGGGGATGACGTTGTAGATGCCTGCTGGGACGTGGTCCGCCTCCATGTAGCAGAAGCCACATCTGGAGAAAGAGAGAGAGAGACTGTCAGGCTTTACAGAAGTTAACAAATCAGTTTGGGGGGGGGGCAGATCCAGTGGAGCAGCACAGATCCAGTGGAGCTAAAAAACGTAAAATTATCACATTAAGCTGAACACCTCCCTCACTAATTACTAATTACTACGAAATCTAAACATGTCCTCTTCAGAGGCACATGGCCAACCTGTGACATCCTTCATGTTGATTTGCGTTAAAACGTACATGGTCATGATTCAAAATGTTTGTTTATGTAAAAGAACAATTATGTGACATTTTTAAACTCTATATTGATACTGGCCTCAGTATTGTTGGTATGTTGTGCTCTAGCACATGCACTGCAAGGACACACGTATGTTAACGAGCAACGAGCATGCAGGTGACTTGATGTAGATTCTTGCTGATGGTTATGACGGGAAAAACTGAGAAGAAGAAGGAAGCCAGCAAGAGCATAAACAAATGAAGAAGAAAATTTCTTTTGAAGTGTAAATCGTTTTTGATCAGAATATACCTAATTCTTCTGGTAAGAAACTGGTGGCGGGTTGTGATAAATTTTAGCAGGAGTACCGCGAATACTGCACCTGCGGCCAGCGCCATATTTTCATTTATTTGGTTCACAACAAGTTAACAAGATTAGACATCACAACAGGTAGGCCTATGTGTGAGTATCTTCCAACATTGAACATACAAACCACCTCCACTCTATGAGGTATTACATTCATGTAAAAATAACATCATAAACATTCTGGTAAATAATTTAAGGAAAATATATCAACTATAGGAATAACAAATGAAAATGTAAATGTAGAGAAAAATACGGTGCAAAAAGAAAGTATTGGCATATTACTAAAGGCAGTATAAACATTACATTTCTATAGATAGTTCCCATAACAAATTAATTGTATGGGCACATTTATTGTCATTTATAAATTGGACAGACTCACAATACATTCTGAATTCTGTTCTAAATAATTCAAATGATGGTCGAGATCTTGAGAACTCATCTTATGGACGTGGTACTTACCTAATAAGATGAGTAAGTTAACCATTTTAAATGCTTGTTTTCATAGTATAGTATTACATATTATGGCTTCTAGTTTGATTAAATGATTAGTTTGAGTTACAAAGTTATCCAAAAATGTTCAAAAAATAAGTGCAGAATTGTCTTGTCTTCATCTTTGCAGAATTCACATTTTTGAGTAGGGTAAATGTTAGGTGCGATTTAGTAATGCATTTCTTTTCACTTTAATGGGTATAACAAATTTAAATGGAAGTTGTCAGTTGCCATGTTTGCTAGTCTTAGTCTTCGGAGACCTGACTTCATAACCCTCCCGTTTTTCACTGACCTCTCCAGGCTCAGGAGTGTGTTTAATGTTACAGTAACCTAGTGTTGGAGGCTACGCTGTTGACAGACGTGATTGTAGATTTACTTTTGAAACAGTTTAGCAGTTCTGGTGACCGGTCCTCTCATTTCTCTCTAATTTATTACTTCTAAAATATTTTCTAGCATCACCAACAGCAGAAAGTGCTGCCTGTTGCTAAATCAGCCACAAAGCTAATGCCTTGTATATCAGTGGAGGAGGCTAAAATTAACGAGCGATTAAATTGTAGTTTATTTGAGGATTTTCAGTCAGGATTTAGAGTTCATCATAGCACAGAGACAGCACTGGTGAAAATTACTAACGACCTCCTAATTGCATCAGACAAAGGACTTGTCTCTGTACTGGGTTTACTATATCTTTGTGCGGCTTTTGATACCACTGACCACCAGATTCTATTACAGAGACTGGAATATTTCATTGGCATTAAAGGAACCGCTCTAAGCTGGTTTAAATCCTATTTATCAGATCACACATGTACATGTTAACGCTGAGTCCTCCATGCACGCCAAAGTTACTCATGGAGTTCCTCAAGGATCTGTCCTTGGACCAATCCTCTTCACTTTATATATATGCTTCCTTTAGGCAATATTATCAGGAAACATTCCATAAGCTTTCATTGTTATGCAGATGATACTCAGTTATATCTATCGATCAAGCCAGATGAAACTCATCAGTTAGCTAAACTTCAAATGTGCCTTCAGGATGTTAAAACCTGGATGAGCTGTAATTTTCTTATGTTAAACTCAGATAAAACTGAAGTTATTGTTCTGGGGCCTAAGCACCTCCGTGACGCATTATCTAAAGATATAGTTTCCCTGGATGGCATCGCCTTGGCCTCCAGCACCACTGTGAGGAATCTTGGAGTTATCTTTGATCAGGACATGTCGTTTAAGTCCACATTAAGCAAATTCAAGGACCGCCTTTTTTCACCTACGTAATATTGCGAAAATCAGGAACATCCTGTCTAAAAATGATGCAGAAAAACTAGTCCATGCATTTTTTACTTCTAGGCTGGATTACTGCAATTCCTTATTATCAGGCTGCTCGAAAAAGTCCATTAAGACTCTTCAGCTGATCCAGAATGCTGCAGCACGTGTTCTGACAGGAACCAGGAAAAGAGATCACATTTCTCCTGTTTTAGCTTCTTTGCATTGGCTTCCAGTAAAATCCAGAATAGAATTTAAAATCATTCTTCTTACCTACAAAGCTCTTAATGGTCAGGCACCATCTTATCTTAAAGAGCTCATAGTACCTTACTACCCCACCAGAGCACTGCGCTCCCAGAATGCAGGGTTACTTGTGGTTCCTAGAGTCTCCAAAAGTAGACTAGGAGCCAGAGCGTTCAGCTATCAAGCTCCTCTCCTGTGGAACCAGGTTCCAGTTTGGGTTCAGGAGGCAGACACCATCTCCACATTTAAGAGTAGGCTTAAGACTTTCCTCTTTGATAAAGCTTATAGTTAGGGCTGGCTCAGGTAGTCCTGAACCATCCCTTAGTTATGCTGCTATAGGCCTAGACTGCCGGGGGATTTCCCATGATGCACTGAGCTCCTCTCTCCTCTACTTCTCTCCCTCTGTATGCAACCTTATCCCATTATTGCATGTTACTAACACAACTTCTCCCCTTTCTGGTAGTCTTGTGCTTTCTCGTCCCTCTCCTCTCTCCTCCTATCACTTCCTGCAGGTTTTCTGGCTCTGGAGCTGTGGAGTCTGGATCTGTGGCTGCGGGTCGCCTGCTGCCCCCGTGTTCCTGCTCGACACCCTCTACTGCAACGACTATTGTTGCTAGTCTTATTGTTATTATAATCATTAACATTACGATGGTTACCATTAACACTATTATAAATATCTGTACCATTTTTCATTTAGTTTATAGCAACATTACCTTCGCTGTCTGTACCTCTGTGTGTATATTGTGTAGGCTGCCTCCCTCCCCTCTCTCTCTCCTTACATCCCTCTCTCTCTCTCTCTCTCTCTCTTCTCTCTCTCTCTCTTTCACTCTCTTCTCTCTCTCTTCTCTCTCTCTCTCTCTCACCCCAACCGGTCGAGGCAGATGGCCGCCCACCCTGAGCCATGGTTCTGCTCGAGGTTTCTGCCTCTTAAAAGGAAGTTTTTCCTTGCCTCTGTCGCCTAGTGCTTGCTCTTGGTGGGAACTGTTGGGCTTCTGTAAATATCATCACAGAGTACGGTCTAGACCTGCTCTTTTATGAAAAGCGCTGTGAGATAACTGTTGTTGTGATTTGGCGCTATATAAATAAAATTGAATTGAATTGAATTGAATTGAACTCCTAAACTCATAACTTACTTTCATTAGTTCTCCTCTGCCGTATGAGTCAAATGCTTCCCACATTCGAACCTCCATTTCTCATTGTTCAGCCATTGTTTATTTTCCCTGTATTTAACCACCCGTTTTATCGCTTTAGTTATTAATAAATTCACTGTAATACGATCAAGAACTGTGTGTGTTGCCTATTTCCACGTCCCTGCCAAGAGAATTGACCTTTAGATATGAGACTGACTGATTGATTTAAGATATTAAACGATTATTAACTAACTGATCACTAGTAATAATTGTATAATTATTAAAACTACCTAGAGGTCCGGAGACTCTAGGATTATAGCAACTCCTGTGGTGCCCTTTTTAACGAGAACTTTTATGGATTTTTGATATTTTCTGAATATTAAAATCCATAACTGGGTATTAATTCTCATAAATTTATTAAAATTCATAGCTAATTTTTAGCCATGCTACACTATCAAGCTCCTCTCCTGTGGAACCAGGTTCCAGTTTGGGTTCAGGAGGCAGACACCATCTCCACATTTAAGAGTAGGCTTAAGACTTTCCTCTTTGATAAAGCTTATAGTTAGGGCTGGCTCAGGTGAGTCCTGAACCATCCCTTAGTTATGCTGCTTTAGGCCTAGACTGCCGGGGGACTTCCCATGATGCACTGAGCTCCTTTCTGTTCTTTCTCTGATGGCCGCCCACCCTGAGCCATGGTTCTGCTCGAGGTTTCTGCCTCTTAAAAGGAAGTTTTTCCTTGCCTCTGTCGCCTAGTGCTTGCTCTTGGTAGGAATTGTTGGGCTTCTGTAAATAGCATCATAGAGTACGGTCTAGACCTGCTCTTTTATGAAAAGCGCTGTGAGATAACTGTTGTTGTGATTTGGCGCTATATAAATAAAATTTAATTTAATTGAATAGTTACAGTCGGCGTGTCAGAAACGATTAAACCAGAGGGGATTTGTGAATAAAGGTGAGCTGAATGTATCCAACACACAGTTGCAGGTCCTCGTTGTAGCCAGTTATGTAGTATTAGATTAATTCAAGGGTAGCGTTTCTTCTGTGTCACTGTATCATAGAGCCAGAAGTGTTTTAGGATTAGCAAATGGGTTCTGTACTATAGGTACATTTTGGTATTTCATATAGTTTCTATTTCCCTGGCCTCCACCATACATGTTCATTAGTAGTAGTACTATAATTTATAATAAATCAGATATTTTAAAAATGTATTCTGTAGTTTTATACATTTGAGCCTTATTTATCAAAACATTAATATATTTTGTTGTGCTTTTGTTCAAAGTACTATTTTTAACAATACAAGTTTATTTTTAAACTGCATTATGTCATGGTATCTTGGTGAGGGTCTCAACATGTTATGCATTTCTTAAAATAAGGAAAAAAAAAAAAGAATATCGGGCGATATATCGGCTGTCAGATTTAAAAATTTTAAAATATTGAAATCGGTATCGGACTTAAAAATCCTGTATTCGTCAGGCTTTAGTTTCTTTATGAGAACATTTGATAAGATACCTTTAATTTGACATTTTCCAACATTACATAAATGCTGCATTAAAAGTATGGTCACATTATGTTTCTGTTCAATGAAATTTGCCTGCATTTTTTTCGGAAAGAGGACATGATGTCAAATGATGTGGTAATGAGCAGAGCAGTCACGAACTATCAGCTGTATATGAGAGCAACGTTACAGTTTGTAGTCTGGTGATAATGTGCTACATATAAATGCCAGAATAATAACTTCCCCATTTCAAAAACATCCGCTGAGCACATCCGCTTGTTAAACATGTTGAACAAAGCCATAATACAGGCTTCAATAAAAGTGAATGGGAGACAGTACTGTGAATTTTTCTAGAACAAAAGAGTAATGTGGTGTATCTTAACATGCAACACTTCAACTGTAAGAAACATGGATCAGAGACAATAGTGACCAGTAAATATCTTTATTTCTCAAATAATGCTACTGGGTTATTTATAAATTATGAATGCCCTTCTTTAGCTTTCTCTACATGCATTCAAAACGGTTTGCTTTACTTGTTACCAATTAAATTATTGAGAATAATTTCCTGTGTTTCATTACTGCAAATGAATTTCAGTGTATTGTTCAGTAAAGATAATAAATTACCAGACTGTGAAGTTATATTTGTCCGACTGTACCTGTAATCACCACTGCTCTTTTTCTGGAAGGCCGCCGGGCCCGGATCCCCCACCGTCGACACCGTCACCATCTCAAAACCAACACTGTACTGCCTGTAAACAGAGACAGAAAAGCAGAGACAGGGAATAACTACCAACTCTAACACAGCTTGATGATGGACAGGCAGCAGTCGTAAAGTCCTGCTGTTCTTTCAGCATAAACGTATTATTATTGTATATATTTTTATGTATTTTTTTATTATTATTTGTATTTGTAATTTTGATTCCATTTATGTATATGTAATTGGGATATATTTAGTGCTTTATGTGGATTAATGTCCCACAGTTTTACTGTTTATCTTCCTTTCAACTAAAAGTTCGATTTTCAGGTGTACAACCAACAAATGCCGAGTGCCATGAGTTTATCACAGATAGATCAGCATCGGTACAGATTTAGAGCGCTAACAAGAAATTGCAGTGCAGAAATGGCAACGATATGTTTGAGGTAATTTTGAAAAACTGTGTCTCCGCTGCCTATGTACAAAGGCTGAGTGGATGCTGCAGCGGCCCGGGTTCAAATCCAACCTGTGGCCCTTTGCTGCATGTCACCCCATATCTCTCTCCCTCTTTCCTCTCACTTTCCACGGTCCTGTCAAAATAAAGGCAAAAAAGACCTAAAAAGTATCTTAAAAACATAAAATAATAATGTGTCTCCATTACATAGTAGGTTACTTATGGATGGAATTCTAACAAAAATAAATTATTCCGCTTTTTGCTGGGAACCCCCTGGGGGTCCCGGGACCCCACTTTGAGAATCACTGGTATAGGAGGTTCTTATAGACTACCACCTGGTTGAGCAAAAATCACATAATTTGAAGGCAACTTGATTGATATAAATCTCCGGTCGGTTCAGTTATGTCCATATGAATATCAACAGATAATTTTCATAGACAATTTTTTTGTCTATTTTTGCTGAGAATTGCGTAACAAGGAAAAACATAAGCAAGACACCGTTGCTGTAGCCACATGGCTCTGTCTCTTAATGCCAAAATGAAAAGCAAGAGGTTCCGTGACGCACACACACTGCTCAGGTAGGCGGTGTGGCCCTTGCATCAGTCTAACCTGGATCCTCTGAGCTCGATGAGCAGCGGTCCAGACCGCTCCAGGTTAATCTGATAGATCGGGTTTTGTTTGTATGAATCCTTATAGTTTCCACAACCACCAGCGGTGAGCCCCTTCCACTGGCCGTTGATCTGAAGACAGAAGCAGAGAGCCAAACACAACATGGTTTTATATGTGATTTGATTACATTAATGTTTAAGCTGAGAGATTTACAAGAAATATTTTATTGCTGCTGTATAAAGAGAATACTGCTAGTAAAAAGCACCTTATTTGTTTAAAGTGTTTGCAAACCACGTTATTGCACTTTTGTGTATATAGCAGTACATTTAAATTAAAAGTGCGCAATAAAGTGTGTTGCCCAGCACTACTATTTACTTGTGTAGGAGTGTCATTTAACTTACTCTTTTGGTTTGAGTGAAGGGATTTGGGATCTTGGAGAAGGTGAATTTGCATCCGGAGTATACCTATGGAAAGAAATAAAACCGATTACTACTACTACTACTACTACTACTACTACTACTACTACTACTACTACAAACTAAAACATTAACATAAAGGAAAAGGATAACAATACCACCTGCTGAAAACAACTAAATAAATTAAAGGATACATAAATAAACAAATAAAATAACTGTTATTTCACCCTGAATAAGAACGGATCCAACAAAAGAAATCTGGCTAGCAGTCAAGGTTTTTTAAAAAAAATTAACAAAAGATAGATGATGGGTTTAAATCCAATTGGTTTGAAGAATGAGTTGTATACAGCAGAAAGCAACCAAGAAGCATACAGAAAAAGTAAAAGCTGGTGAATTAAAGAACATAAAAGGAGCAAACATCAAAAAGACTACCATATTGCTATTTTGTTATCAGCAATTTTGTAAGACAAAGTGTAACATGTTTCCAAATGCTGTTAATTTATTCATGATCATCTGCACACAAAATAGAGCTTTCATATCAGCGCTGCTCTGGTGAAAGAAACATCAGAAATTAAATCATGTTTCCTGCTTTCTGCTTTGATCTCTTGTGAAAACTCAGTGAACAACAGAGAGATGAATCAGTTATTCTCAAGACGATTTTCAAAGAGAAACGTTGATCTGAGCTGGGGAGAGCGTTTTTTGGCTGCGTTGGTGAAGAGAGAGAGAGAGAGAGAGAAAGAGAGAAAAAGAGAGACAGAGCCTGCTGTGGTTACAGGAGTTCTGATGCGGTTACACACATACTACATCAGCACACATACAAACATCCAGCAGACACACAACAGGGTGCAGGGTTTTTTTTAATGAGCAATTTCAATATAAATAGTTCTCAACAGTCCTCACTGCTGTTAGCAAGAGGAGGCCATGAATTATAAATGACAAAAAAAAAATTATATATATATATATATATATATATATATATATATATGGGTCACACACACACACACACACACACACACACACACACAGAAGAGATCACAAACTAGCTCAGGGAATATGAGCAGGAGGACGTTAATGCAGATTTACCTTAAAACAAACAAACCTCAATTATTAAAATTAAATTAAAAACTAAATTAAAAACTAGTTAAGAGAAATTAACAATAGGGTGTGTAAATCAGCAATATCAGCAATGCACGCATGTGCGGGAGGTGTCGAAGGTGCAAACCAAAAGAAGAGGATGTAAGGTGGGTGTAAGGTAGGAGGAGAGAGACAGAGCGTGCACATGGACCAGCTTTTATAGAGTAGAGGGCCCAGGTGAACTAGATCAGTGGACGACCCTCTCATGTCAGCAAGGACAGCCTCCAAGACAATAAGAAGGGCGTCACAGAGAGATGACCAGAAGAGAGCAGTGATTATTGTAACTGATTCACCCTGCAATACGCACATCTGACAAAAACAAAGGCAGACTTGCTGCTCATTGCAGCATGGATGGCCCATCTCAAGCACGTTTTGAGCCTTTAAACTTGATTTTGGAATTGGATTATTTTATTGAACTTAGGGTTGGGCAGTATATTGGTATAATGAGGTATACAGATATGTCAACAGAGATATAAAATTAGACAGTGATTGGGGAAAAGAGAACTGAAGGGAAAGAAGTCAGATTCAATAAGTGAGTAAACAGTTAAATAAGGTGGAGAATGAAGTATAAATAAAATGGTAAATTAAGAATTAAGCTACAAATAATAAAAACATATCCCCCGCTATTTACCTGTAGTGACGGTGTTTGCTGCTGGTCTAATATAACAGCTTACAGCAGGGGAGAGAACATATTCAAGACTTTTGTGAAATAAATTTCAGACTTTTTCAGGTCGTTTTGGGGGGGGGCTGAATTCAACGCTTTTCAAAAACCTGCCGATTTTGTATAAAAAGTGATGTTGATTGGAAAAGAAAACCCAAAAAACATATCCCTGTCCTAATACTAGCAGACACACACACATATACGTGTATCTCATTTAACAAAAAGCTTTCTGTGAGATAAAAAACGTTTATACAAAAAGTCTTTCTCACCCGCAGTGTGTAGTTGATGGTGTTCTGTTTCTCATACTGGGAAACCACCAGTGTGAAGGTGTGTGTCCCTGCGCTGGTCAGTCTCATCTTGGTCAGGTAGTGTGGGCTGTTGATACGGATGCCGTCGATGTAAGGAGGGGGGTCCGCTGTGGAGAGAGCCAGTGTAGTTTATTTATATAGTGAATAACCAGCTCATAGTTAGGGTGGACCTTTTTGTCTATTTTCATGGAAGTAAAAGGTGTGTATTATTTTGCGGTGAACTCTTTAGTTTAAAGTCTGCTGCTGTCTTTATGAATCAGTTCAATTAGTCATGAATCAGAGCAGTTAGAGGTTTGTGATGGACTAATCTTTCTTTCAGGCATCTGACCTTGTTATGTGCGACTGTGGGGGCGAAATAAAGACGCGACAGAGTGCTGCCTCATCTACAGTACGGATCTCACAGCTCAGTGGCACAGAGAGGAAAAGTCTTCTAAGGCATCTATCAAACCTTACCTGGGTAGTAAACCTTCTTCCCGTCTGTCTTGTAAACAACAAGGGTTATAAACTCCCTGTTCTGTGCAAAATCATCCTGAAGAAACAAAACGGATAACAGTCATTAGTTTCAAGTGAAACCTTACAGTCATCACACATATACAATTAAATTATTATATATAATTATATATCACATGACTTCACTCAGCTCTGATTCTCTACCTTGTCTGTGATGTGTCTGGTGAGCAGCACCCACACAGCAGCTCCCCCTGTTGGACACTGGACCTCCAGCTTGTACTGCGGATTGTTGGCCAGACTGTAGACGTCCTTCACTGGGCCCTGCTTCCCATCCCAGCTACTGCAAACCAGAGCACACACACTTCAGACTGAGTATATACTCAAAAAATAGAAGTATACTGTTCTTTTTCCAGTTCTTCAGTTGAACAGAATTTACATACAACCTACATTTCCATCTCAATGTTAAGAAAATCTGGCACACACACACACACCTGTGAATACAGGAGGAATCTTTGAACAGGGCAGGGTTCCAGCTCAGGTAGATGACATCATAGTACTGACAAAGGTCCTCCCATGCAATCCAAAAAACACCTGGAGAGAAACACGGAGGAAAATATAAGTATTATTTGTATCTGAGCACTGCTGCTAAGGATCGTACCTCGACTACACAGCGGCAGGCGATTACTTTTCCCTTTGCCACTCTGATGCCCCATCCCTTACGTTTCAAACAGCAATGCTACACGACAGTAAGAACTGGCCGCGGATATAAATATATGGCACGTGTGTTTTGATATGATTTGAATGATGCAGTGTCATTTCAGGTGACAGCCAATTTGCCAAAATGAGCGACAGCACCAAATTACAATAGGAACATTCAAGGGTAGGAGCTAAACGAATTAAATTACCTTCAGACGGTACATTTTATGCCCATATTGTTGGTAATGAAGTTAGAAAAAGAAAGGGAATACCATTATCAAACTTCTGTGCTGTCTTGGGGTCAAAGTTGAGGTGTTTGAGGAGTTCAGGTGTCCAGTTCTTCTCGTCACGCTCGCTGTAACGCCCTTTCCATCGCAGATGACTCCATGGATTCTTCAGCTGCAGGAAACGCATTCCCTGCAAGAACAACACACCCACAGACATGATGTCGATTACAACAGATGCAGTAGAATTAGGGATCACTCATTTGGGTTGTGGGTGGCCTTCAACGCCGGTAATAGTATGGCAAGTATCAAATTGGTCATTGTTTTGCATTTCTTGCAGTGCACCATAGGGAAGGTTTCTGCTTTCTGCAGGGAGTTAGTGAAAACATCTAATACTCCCTCCTTAGTGCCCTTTGCAGGTTTTGACTGACATGAACAGCTTTAACATTCAAATGTTCTTATCTTTTATTTAACCATATACTCAGTCTGCAGTGATGGGGGAATATGGTATAAAAATGGGATGCCAACATTTCAAGCATGCAGAATGTTATGCTAATGATGCTCGGCTGACACACTGACTTTCTCTACAATAACCTCATTGATACTACACTAACACCCATAATTGTTCAGGACTTCAACCAAGCTTGGTCCAAACATCAGTGTCTATCAACTGTATCACTAAGCTTATGTTTTCCATATCCTCTCTGATGATAAATATAAGAGCTTATGATGACAAGCTAATGCTACTTTAATTTGCCTACCTTGTATTCCCGGATATCAAGCACAGCGTAGGCGTGTGTTGGCACTAAACCCCATTTCTCGCCCTCCTCCTCAGTCATGACCCCCGTCGCTGTGGTGACGAGGACATCACCCCTGTGAAACCTGCAGACAGCGAGAGACAGAAGCAGATTCAGAGGGAGAATGAAGCCAGATGTGCAGAGTGGAAGAAAATGGACTTTTTTTTTGTTTGTTTATAAACTAGGAAAAAACTTCTTCTGTGTATGTCTGTGTGTTGCTCACCTCTGGAAAAGCATCCGAAAAGTGTCATCCTTGCTGAATGATTGATTGTCTGAGTGCATAGCGATGCGCTCAGGGATCCAGCCAGTGAGCGCGTGCAGATCAATGTTCTGTAACAAAGAATAGGAAAAACTTTACTCTTCCACAACCTAATTTCTTGACTAACATCAGACTTTTGTTTGTATTCAGTATGATGTCTGCTGAGAGTGACTAGACATAAAACAGCTGCCAACATTTAAGAAAACTTCTTTTGCAGATTATTTTGCAATTACCAAACCTTTCAAGACCTGGAAGTGATCAGATGTACTTTATTACAATTTTCCAGACTTCCCAAGCCTGTCTAAATCATGAAGGAATACATAAAGTAACACAAGCTCCTCTCTCCATCTATATGCAACCATTAACCATTAATGCATGTTACTAACTCAACTTCCTGCAGGTGTTTCTGGCTCTGGAGATGTGGAATCTGGATCTGTGGTTGCGAGTCACCTTCTGCCCGCATGAGTCACAGTTCTGTTTAAGGTTTCTCTACCTCTTGACTTTCCTTGCCTTTGTGTTTGCCCATGGTAGGAATTGTTGGGCCTCTGTAAACAATATTAGTACGATCTAGACATATTCTATGTGAAAAGTGCCAACAAGATAACTTTATATATGAACTAGCGCTGTATAAATTTTACTGAATTCAATTGAATAAATTACCATTTGATAAAACATTAAACTGAATTCTAAACAAGCCTTCTTGAAATCACACACATTTTTGCTAAGCAAATGCCTCATCCAAATGTTTTACGGTGATCATATTTGTCTGGGCCTTCTAGCGTTGGACACTGACCAGTTTCACTGTAGCAGATGAAGAAACTTCTTTAAAAATAGTTTCATCTCCTGGTTTGTCCACCTTCACTTACAGAGTTGGAGCCAGGGAAATCGTAGCCTCCCATCACTTTCATGTAGGCCTTCTCTATCAGGGAGACCCAGAGCTCGTTCCTGTTGCTGGAGTAGGAGCACAGCAGCTCTCCGTTACGATCCACCGGCAGGTAGTCGTCTATAATCACCTGCAGCGGGGACAGAGGAGGGCTGCTGGTTTGAGGGATGTTGTGCAGTGCAAATTAACATTTTGCTCTGCATTTTGAATTAATTAAGCTACATGACAGTACACAATTAATTTCTCTCACTCAAAGCCTAAATAATACAGAACCAAAGAGTAATGTAATCTTTCAAAACTTAAAAAAAGCATTGGACAGCAAGATATGTTAACCGTTTGTGTTCCAAATCCATTGACTAGACACTAACGTTTTTTGATCGAAATTATTGCTAGGGACAATTCGTTTTGCCTGCAGTTCATTAAAAAAACACTGACAGGAACACATAGATTTTTTTCTACATTACCTTTTCTATTTACAAAACAGGAAAAGGAAGAATATCTGGTTCCCTTCTGACTCCAAACTGTGCATTTATAACACACTATATTCTGCTGTATGTTATGTATCTCGCACTGCCCCTATAGTGGTTTATTTCTCCAGATGAACTGATTTTACCTTCCTGGGAACTCCGTTGATGTGAAGCTTGACCATGTACTTCCCACAGGGGTTATACTCAGGTTCTCCTCGTCTGTTCTGAGGATAGATGACGCTGTAACACACACGTGCACACACACTATTAAACTACAATTAAAGCCCATGTTTGCCTTTATTTAAAAGGTTAGAAGCAAGATAGAGTAGATGCTTTTGTACATGTACTGTATAAGTGATCAGTTCTACTCTGGTTGTCTGCATGACCTGAAGTCATGCCAAGGCGTACCTTGACAATATTCTTCTGTTTCATGGTGTTAATGTTTTGTTTAGGACGATATAGGACCACAGTCTTTGTTACCAACAATATGAGGAATATCAAAAACAGAATATTTAAAACAGAATATTAAAAGAACAGCAGCACAAATTACTGGCACTTCCAGTGAACACATAGTTAATGTGCATGTACCAATTCCAGTCAAATCACAGAGGTTAAACACAGTACCTGGTAATGAGTTTCTTGTTGTAACGTCTCTCATAGGCTGCACTGATGGCTAGCGACGCCACAAACGAACAGTCAGACACCACCGTCTGGATAAAAGGAGAGAAAATCACATTAATTAGCATTTTAATATGTTTATACCAGTAATAATTTGACATTTAAACATATTAAACTGTGTTTGGATTTTGAGTGCAATATGTTTTAACTCTGTATCCCTGCCAAAGGTTATTTGAACATTTCTACCATGAAGATCCTTATCTATGATAATGCTGTGCCCTCTACTGGCTGAATTTAAACAAGTTCATCCGGTAAATAGAGAAATGACAGGACAGAAACAAACAGTACAGCAATGCACTCTGGGTAGAGAGCAAGTGCTGCAAAGCTTATGAAAAATAATTTGCCTGTATTTTAAATAATAAAATCAAATAACCAAACCTTTTCCAAAAATACACAGCTGCAAAGAACAATATTTTCCATTTAAAATTCAAGTGACAGAAGTTTACAAGCAACAGCCTGTCACAGACTAACACCAAAATTAAAGAAGGTTATAAAAAACTGTTAGTATACAAAATACAGTCCAGCTGCTAATCTGACCTGTTTGATGCTGAAGCTGGACACAGACATGATCATGGTGGGGTTATTGCAGATCTCGTCGGGCCGGACCCAGCGGGAGAAGATGGCCTTCTGTTTGGGTGACAGTGCAAGTTTTCCTGTTTTGTCCCTGGTGAGAAAAATAAATAGGAGTTAAAAACTGGTTAATACCTATTTAATTCAGATCTACTCACACAGCCAGCTACTCGCTGTCTGTCTGACCATCACACCAAACTAATCTAAAATCTACACTCTGTGTTTTTGTCAGCAAATATTGACATTGAATTGGAGCTGCAGATCATTACTGTTTTGTGCTGGCATTCAGTTCACCAATAATTTGAGTCCTGGCAAAGCCTCTAAAACCACATCTAGACTCCAAAGCAATCACCAGTGTTTCCTGAAGCATTTATTGAGCGTTGTGGGCGTCTGTCACTCGTTGGTCTCATGAAACAGATGCATAACCACACAACTCCTCCCTTTTTATGGTAAACTTTTATTTCCCCTGCACGCCTAGTGAAGCATAATCTCAATAAACAGCCATTCAAATCACCAAATTATCCTTCTCCTTTTTGTCATATATATATATATATATATATATATATATATATACATACAATGCTAATACAGATTAGCATTCAGATTTGTCAGATCAGATTTTAATAAAATGGAAGGACATAAAAACATTACAGTACTACAGGTGTTTATTTAGGGAAAAATAGAAGACAAACTTACGAGAAAGGGACAGGAAAGGCAAATCGCTCTCTCAGGTCCACACTCATAAAGGGAACATATGCTATGCCATTGATTGTTGATGTACTCCTGAAAATTAAGGAGGAGATTAGTGCAACAGAGCAGCTAACAGTAGATTTGAGTAAGTACTGCTTGTGATACATACATTTTCTTTCTTTTTCACATATTTACTAAGGAGAACATATTCTGAAAAATAAATTGTGGTCATACACAGAGAAACGTTTTATTGGTGGCTGGTGACCACATAGACTGTTCATATAGTAATTGTAATTTCAATGCAGATTAAAAACATTTCATGAAATTCTAAGACATTTCAATCAACTTTGTTTTTGTTCTTATTAATTAGTATTAAGGTGGTCATATTAGGCTTATTTACAGGTTCATAATTTCATTTAGGGGTTGTACCAGAACAGGTTTACATGGTTTTGTTTTCAAAAAACACCATATTTTTGTCATACTTCACATTGCTGCAGCTCCGCTTTTCATCATCCTGTGTGTTGAAGGCTTCGTTTTAGCTATAGTGTGAGGTATCTTACTTGTATAAAATCTTTGTTTGGAGCTGCACATACACAGTTCCAAGTTAAGGACTACTAGCCAATCAGAAGCGTAGGTCGGGTCCTGAAAAGCCGGTAATGACGGCTTCGGTTCAGCTGTATATGTTCACCTTACCAGCTTAGCAACATGGACTGGAGCAAGTGTTTCAGAGTGGTGAGTTATTAATCTGTAACAAAAGTATCTTTCATCCATAAAGTTTTAACTGAGCTCTGTCTCTACATCACAGGAACAACTTTATGTCCACTGACTGCCTGGAGGGTAGCTAGTGTTTGGAAGGAGAGGAGAGGCAGCAGGCGGACGTCTTGTCGCTGTGTGCTGCAGCTCACTGTTTTTCCACAGGTGTTTTTGAGGGCGTGTCGGACTAGCCGCTAGGCGAGCATCACAGCAAAGCGGAAGTAAAGGCTGGACTACAATCGAGCTGTTTACAGGCAGTTCAGAGCAGAGTTTTATGTGGAAGATGGGAACTCCCTTTGGGCTGGACTTCACTTTACTCTGCAAACCTAGTACATGCACAAAAAAGATATATAACACAATAAAGGAGAGGGAAAAGGCCTAAAAGCACAATATGACCTCTTTACAGAGTTTTCCAGGTCTACCAGGATCTGTATGAATCCTCCTAAAGTGGTATCACTTGACAACATATTCTGCAATCTGTCTCACCTGAGCACCTCAATCTCCTCAGACGTGTAGCGCTGACCCTGAGGCTCGCTGGACTGGACTGCCCGAACCGGCTGGGGGTGTGGCCGGTCATGGAGGGAGAAGTCTGGCCCGAGGGGGAAAAACTGGCGGACCGGCCCTCCGGAACTGTCCCCACTGCTGGGCTTGGTTCCAGAAGGTCCGATCTTGTCCTGAGTCTGAGCTGGAGTTGATTTGGACTGGGAGTCTTTAAGACCCTCCGCCCTGACAGAACATAGTGGAGGAAATTGTTAAATTCGACCTGGAAAATGTAATCGCCGTTTTAGGACAAAATAAGGGAGAAAAAGCTACAACTGAACAACAGTGACGTACACACCTAGCATCTATCCTCTACATTCTTTTTACATTAAATAAAAATGTTTTTCTTAGTTTGTGAGCCCAAGGGTCATAAATTAACACATGGGGACCATGTAAAATTCCTGGTAAATTAAGAATAAGGATGAGCTCAACTGAACTACACTTCGATAGAAGTGGGCTTCACAAAAAACATCTATTAACCTAAAATTAAAAGAACAACAAAACATAATCAGTCTGTGTTAATTAGCTATTTCCAACTGGATCCTTCTTTTAGGTGAAATGTAGAGTTCATTACAAAGAGCAACTGAAGGCCAAAACTATGGAAAACTGAACAAAAGAATACAAAATCTGAAGGCTCAAGAGCAAGGTGCTTGAAGATGCGCCATTTCTGATATGCTTTCAGTCTACATTGGAACTGTATTGGAAACATGACGGAGCCACGGCACAGCTGGAATTCAACACAGCCTCTTCCAGTTGAGATTCAGAACTACAGCAAGATAACAGTTCTTACTAACGTTCAGGAACATTTACCTGTCTAAAGCCTGACGTGCTAGCTGCTTCAGCTTGTTCTGCAGAGCCTGGTCCGATGTTTCGTTGGACTGTTGCAAACACAGAAGGAGAAACAAATGTGGATACTGCGAGTGAAGATCGAGTCAAAGTTAGTCGCTACGTCTGCGAGAGTGATGACAAAAAGAGAGAGAAGGAGAGTGAGAGACCTACCGTCTTAATGCAGAGCTCAACAGCTTGAGTGTAAAGTTCAATGGCTTCATCATCATTTCCCTTCTCGTCTTCCTCGAAAGCCTGGGTGACCAGGAAGTGGGCACGCTCCAGGCCCACCTGCTCCCTGGACTTCAGCGGGTCGATCTTCTGTGCCTGGACTGGGGTCAAAGGACACACAACAGACACTTAAAGTAAGCACCAGGGTGTCTGAATGGCAAAGGAGGTTGTCCGTCATGTTAACTGCAATAAAACTACAAACATTTTGGGCAGCTTTGTTCCATCTTTTCTTTTGTGTCCATATTTGGCTTCTGGAAATAATTCATTCAACAACTGGTCTGGGATTTATATTATAATGTTCAGTTTTTGCAAACAGCAGGACCATACTAAACGTCATCCACTGGCTGTCCAACAAAACAGGATGCTCACACAGTCTCTGTGGTCACACCCATGTGCACACACGCATAGCACCATGGTGTGGGCAGAGTCACAGGAAAAAAGTAGTCAGACAGCAAATGAGAAAGTATGTCCTTACAGCCCACTCAGTAACTCATCATTACAAATCACAAGTATTTCACCTCTGTAAGACTTCAGGTGAACAATAGGGAGGATGAATAATTTCATTTAACATGACATGCTTCAGTAAGAACAAATATTCCTGGGAACACTACTGAAAGTTCCAGTAGAAGCTGGAAACACGTTCATATATCACTTCTGATGAAGAGAATCAGCTAAATGTAGGAACAGCAAAATAAATCAGTGGATCTGATGTGTCTCTGTGGTCAGGTGAGCTTACCAGCATTGTGGAGGGCTTGGACCCGATCCAAGTACTCATTCACTTTGTCCTGGATTCCCTCCAGTTTGGACCCTGCCATGCCAGCATATATCAGGGCCTGGGCTGCCTCCTATAGCAAAAAATGGTTATAAAACCATGCAGTAATCAACTGGCACTCAGTGACAGTCTCTTTCTAATTTATTATAAATTAAATGTTACTGTAATTTGATAAAACAGAAAAGTAAGCCATTTCTTCATCTACTCGTTGGTGCATTTAATAGAAAGGCTTCAATCCAGAGCGGTAAGCTGCATTCTGCAAGTAAAAGTGAATGTTTACTTCTAGGTAAGATGAGCTAACGATGACAGGTAGCAGCATCTGTTTATCACATGTCAAGTTAAAATGTATTAACACTTACCTTATAATAAAATACAGCCTCGTTATATTTGCCATTCTGGTCATAGGTGACAGCCGTTTTGGCAAATTTGACACCATCGAGCTCCAGCGCCGTGCAGTCCATGCTGAACACAACTTGTTGACAGAGTGTCAAGCTCTGTTAGCCAGCGGATAGGCTAGCCACGAGCTAACCGCTAGCTGCCGTAATTCGCCAAATTAACAAAATGTCTGTCTTTCACTCGAAACACATTTCGTTTCATCAACTCGGACAAATCATAGCAAGACAATCCCGACGGTCGTCCTTAATTCCGAGGCCAAAACTGGCTTGTTAAAGTTTTGCTTTGTCTTTTGATAGATGGCCAGCGGATACCACCCCCCAGAAAAAAGCGTTGTTTCCGGGAAAGACACGATTCGCACAGTCGCATTACAGCTGTGTTGCGTTCACGTGTAGTAAGAAACAATAACACAGCGGGGTAACTTTAAAAATCATATCTTTCCATAGGTGTTATTTACACTGGGGACGCTGGGGACATGTCCACAGAAGTTTTTGAAGCATTTTGTAAAAAATACTTGAGGAAAAAAAGCTTGCAACAATAAATAATGTACTACAAAATTAAATAAGACAAATGCTTTGAGAAAGGTTTATTTGCGCAATAAGATAACATGCAATGCAATTTAAATATAAAAGGAAACAAATGTGCATTGTCCAAAAAATAAAATCAAACAAATAATGCATTACATTATATTATATTATTATATTATGAGCCTAATATGACCACCTTAATACTAATATGACCACCATAATACTATTTTCAGGTGTCACCTGACACCTAAATTTTGTGTTTTCCTTTATTTAAATAAAGATATTTCCACCATAAATTGTTGCAAATGTCTCCAAAATGACACTTCACTCATTTATTTCATCATTGAACATTTCCTCAAAATAGTGTTAAAATATCTTCTCACAAAACTGGTCCAAGACCTGGGACAAAAAAACAAACACTGTCATATGACATGCAGTAACTTTCTGTTTGGAAAGAACAGTGTTTTGATGCTGGGATCTGAATTTGGGCTTGCAGTGTTTTGTCTGGTTTTGGACAATGTGGCGACCTTCTTCTGCTAATTTACAAAACAGGTCATGTTTGTGCAACATGCACACTAGTTACCACAACCCACAATCTCAATAATCAAGATGACGTGTACTCCCCTTGTGGGGGAGGCCCAGACCGTCACTGGACACCTGCCAAAATTCTCTTTGTCAGATAAAGATCTGACTGCACTGCAACTACTTATTTGAGATTAGTACCAGTTGCAATGACAATTTAAGTTTGGTTCATTTAATGTTATGGGAGGTTTATTTTGGTTGTGTGAAGATTTTTATTGACTGTAGTGACCAGAGACATAACGTAAACACTGTCATTTTACATTCAAGTTTGTGCATTCTAAATCAGAGTGACACAGACACAGAAAAGTAGAAGGTATGCCACTTCTGTTCTTGTGGCATATGTCGATCCTGAGTTGTCATTGTCACGACATGACCACATATGGCACTTAGTCATGTTCCACTGTCATATAGTTACCAAGAATGTTCAGAGTCCTGATGATAAATGCCACTTTTCATAACAATGTGCATAACAGTAATGTGACACTCTTATTTCAGTGTCATGTGCTGATTCTTCTTGATATGCTACTTGAATTACTGGTACACAGGTATGTGGTACAAGAAAACCCCTGCTGCATGCCACTCCTCTTCCACTGCCACACTCCCCAGTGGTTTGTGAGGATTCACATGGCGCTGCGGTGTGCCACATGAAAACAATGTCACCGTTGTTCCACCAGCAAATTTCCCTTTCATGTCATATGAGATTTATATTGATTGTCCGACATGTATAGAGTTAACCCCAATATCCAAGTCGTAATTTTGACAGGAAAACTCAGTTTTTCTGAAATCCCTGATATATGGTGTGGTGAGCCCACTCTTTATGCAGTAATTATACAATATTATGTGTACACTATGCAATATTATTATGTGCATGAGGTAGGTGGTAGATTATCGATTTCCTCCCAACATGAAGTCTAATTGTTGTTTGAAATCCAGCGGATGATGTTGGCGTAATAATAAAACTATATCATAATACAGCTCAGTCGTCCTTCATTCATAAGATGGAATGCAAGATGCAATATACTGGAAGGAAATGCAAAATAATTATTTTAAAATATCCCACTTTGATCTTTTGGGAGCTCAGTAAAAGTCCAATGTTCAAGGTTCTGAAGGGTTTTCTTGTCATTGCACAGTATTTTTAACCATACAACCAACATTTCTTTCTTGTTTTTTCCTGCTTGGCTGCTCGTAATTACGGTCTTTATGACATGATCAAGTGACAATGCCTAGGTTTCGGTAATGAATCTTCACTAACATGGGACACCCACTGATGAAAGAAAGATGGCTAACTAAAGTAATGTCTTGAAATTAGCCTGTAAAAATGATAGGCTTGTGACCTGAATTGGACATTCAGAATCCTTTCTGAGGTTTCATTGGTTAAGCTGATGTTGTTGGCGGGTAAAGAAGAGTTCATTGCCTTTTGCTGAAATTTTATGACATTGTGATATTTTTCCCGCAATTAAGATAACTACAGTGAAACAAACTAGAAGCTGTAAGAATTTGATGCAAGGCAAGTTTATTTATGAAGCACTTTTCGCACACACAATGGCAATTCAACATGCTTCATTTATTACATTAAGTAAGAACTGTCATTAAGTGACAAAGTAGGAAAAGGTTAAAATAGCAGTAACATTGAAGATATTTTCAGTCCCCCTTTTTGACAAAACAAGGCTGTGAAAAGCATTGCTGCTGAACATTCACAGGACCACACATATAGTATATGTGCTTACAGATGACACAGAATGACGGCTGACTTTATCCTCACAGTAGATACGAGTCTTTGGTTACTGTTACCAACAAACTATCAGTGTTGTAAATGACAATCAAGAAGACTTCTTTTCTAACAAAAAAATCTGTTAGTTAAGTCAACAACTAGATTGAAGTGAATTATGCGTTGTTAGATAGATTTTAACATAGAACAAAGGAACACAAGTTTCATTCGGGATAGCACAAATACAGTGTTGCGAGCTTTTTAAATATTTGCATTTTTAGCCATTCATGATGACAACGTCTGTTTAACATTAACGTTATAACAGATCACTTCCATCAACCCACTTCCAATTTCCAGCTTTAACTCTGAGGCCAACCAGTAGCCACTGTTTCCCCAACTGCTCCAACTCCTATTGTGGATAAATTCCTGATGACCTCAAAAAAGATCAGAAATGGGGAAACACTGATTTGCAGAGAGATGCTTTTTCAAATTCTCAAACTCTACTAATCACCCCTCCAGCCTTACATATTCATCTCCTCCATGTTTCTCCTAGATGCACAGAAAATATGTTTCACAGAGACAATGTGTGTGTTTCAAGTGTATTGTTTATGTCTCGCATATGAGGCACAAATAAAAACCTGCTGTTGCCTCAAAGTTCTCTTTAGGTTCTTCAATGCAAAAAGGCATACGTTTATAGTTTTAAGAAAGCGTTATTTTTTTTATCAGCAATGTGTAATTATTTGCCATTATACATTTGGAAATTTAATTTAAACTTTCAAATGCTTTTCAAATAAACTGTAGAAATACACTGACATATAGGACATATCAGTCTAAAAAATAAATGTATTTCTAATATACTTCTTGTATTTCAGTTGACGTGCATCTCTTGATTTCATTTCCAAGACAGAATTGTATTTATAAATCGCATTCAGCTACTTCTACCTACCTGTTACCTGTTCCTCAGGACTTCGTATTACAACCAAATCTGCATTTTGCCCTCTGCAGTTGTTTTGAGCATCTTCCCAGGTTCTCTGATTAGGACCATCAACATTATTAATTGCATAGCAGCTGGACTGGAAGTGAAGTCAGTCTTTTTGACAAGCATTACTTTGTCTGTCTGAGAAAAACCGCAGAGAGCAAATGATAGGTTACTGGTTTTAATGTGATATTTTTTCTGTTGTTATTTGTTTAAAGCAGATTGCAGAGATGTTACCTCTGCTCTCACTGTTTTCCCTTTTGGGGCAGTAGGCATCAACACAGCACTGAGTCACGCTGAGCTTATTCCACACTCTCTTAATGTTTTCTATTTTATCTATTAAGCAGTTTTTCTGCATCTTCAGCTGCTGAATTTCTGCAGTCATCATCTTGTTGTTTTCAGTAATGATTGTGGTAACTACAGCGAAAGAAACAGTATACATGTCTAAACTGCCCCTTACAACTGTTACAACTTTTGTTGTATTTGTTCAATGGTTTATTGTTTGATGTGTTATTTTGATGCTCATGATGTTCTGTCCAGAGCTGAAAATGCAATAAAAGTAATAAAAGAAAAAGAAAATGTTGTGTATTGCCAATGTTTGTCAAGCTACTAAGAACAAATTTGAATTGACAGTTACTATATATAGAATATACTTTCTGTCGCACACCTTCATTTTACAGGACAAGCCTGAGAATGGCAACATTGCAGCTAGAGGACTCACTTTTTGCTTACAGACAGAGTGAGTGTTGAGTTTATACTCACAGTAGATATGAAGTGCCATGATTAAAGACAGTATAACCCACCACATGGCTATCCATGGAAAAGACTGAATGACAGAGGGAGACTTCTTATCTGAAGGAGAAATAAGAATTCAATTACATACTTCAACAGACAAGTGTTTCTATAAATAATAGATTTTAAGTACAAAATATAAGATACACGCCAATTGCACAAGTCACCATCAAGTGCAGCATATACCAAGGCGATGCACTATCCCCGCTGCTGTTCTGCATAGACCTGAACCCCCTCAGCCAGATCATCACAAAGACTGGCTACGGATACCGGTTCCGAAGTGGAACAACCATCAGTCACCTGCTCTACATGGATGACATCAAGCTGCATGACAGAAATGAGCGTGACATCGACTCACTGATCCACACTACCAGGATCTACAGCGATGACATTGGAATGTTGTTCGGACTGGACAAGTGTGGTCTCATGGTATCAAAAAGAGTGAAGATGATCAGAACCAAGGGGATTGAACTACCAGAAGGCCACATTGGAGATGCTCAGGACAGCTACAAATACCTACAGAGAGTAAGTCAGGTCCTGAAAAGTCAGCTGAATGGGAAAAAACAAGATCTGAGCCATAAACACATACCCTGCATGCCCTGCCAGTCATCAGATACCCAGCTGGTATAATAAACTGGCCAAAGGAGGAGATAGAGGCTACTGACATCAAGACAAAAAAGCTCCTCACAATGCATGGAGGGTTTCACCACAAATCCAGCACCCTGAGACTATACACCAAGCGTAGCGAGGGAGGCCG